CCTATGATACTACTTGGCCTGCTGTGTTCATCCAGCTCTAGACCTTGTTATCCTAGTAAAACAATTGACCAGGGTGCCGCTCCTAATTGCTGTTCATTAACCCTTGCTGGATGCATTTTGGGTGTAGGAAGGATCAAATGCAGCACGACAGCTCTTAGTATTTATACTCAAGGATTACACAGAGAAATGACTAAGTTATGAGATTTTGTAGAGCTGCTGATAGCATAACTGCAACACATGTTACTGGCTTAAATAAAGAAGTTAATGGAAGAGGAGCAGAGGGTCATATATTCCAAGCCTTTATCTGAATATAAAACATTTTTTTAGAATTAGCAGAAAAAAAAGTGGGATATTAACAATGCTGGTTTTGGTGGGAATGAAGCTGGTTGTCAGATATGACAAAACATTTTTATTAACTGTATATGTAAATGGTGCCATTTATGTTAAAATAATATGTATAAAACAAGTGTTTAAATTCTGTTAAGAGATAACAAGGTGTAGAGCTGGATGAACACAGCAGGCCAAGCAACATCATTTAAATTGTATTCCTGTGATTGAAAGTGAGCAGCATCAGAATTAAAAGTTCTAGTTTCCAAACTGGGGTTTATGAGCTTTGAGAGTAGGAACTGTTATATTACTACACAGCTGTGTTAGTACTGCCAAAAGTCACACTTTTTTGTGGGGAAATGTTATATTGTTGTGATGTTGCACACTGATCTTCACAAGCTGTTTCTGAGAAAATGCTGCAGTCAGTAGTATCACTAATGACAGGAATCTAATATTCCATGATGTTTTGGAATGTTAGAAATATATATTTAGTTCAGCACAAAGTGTGCTACACAGTGGCATAATTTAAAAAAAAAATGATAGCAACAGGAAGAAAAATGCAAAACCAAATACTTAGAAAACTATTCTAGCACAGTGGTATTTTACGAATCTAACCTCACCTCATTTAATGAACTAATGTACATTTCCTGCTTATAGAATTAAAAAGTGACAAATTGTTGAAACTGGAATCGTTTAATAGGTTAGTTACACTCTTACCTGAGCCAGTAGTGCTGCCATTTCTAATGCAAGTTCCTTGTTTACAGGAAAGTGTCCATTGACAATTTCAACATTTGTTTGGTACATCAGCAATAGTTTTTCTCTGTCTGTCTCTCCACGAGCTTGGGAAGAGAAGTAGAGTCTGTGAATGGGAAAATAGTAAAATTCTGTCATTTTGAATCAAAGTCTCTACCAGTGTTGATGAAAACTCCCAGCCAAAACATTAACCTTTCTCTTCTTCTCAATCACTAAGGTACCTGCTCTAACGCATAGACTTCAAAGTAGATTATAAACTTAAAATGAAAAATTTCCTAAGAGTACCTATATTATGAATTACAAAATAATGCTAATATCTGGCTAAGAGACTGGTTGGACAATAGAAGAGAAGGAAAGGGAAGAACGGCTCCAAACTTGAATTCGAAGGAAGTGGGGTCCCAATAATGGACTGGGTGGAATTTCTAATCGATACGGGAAGTGTTCTGGTTACAGAGTCTGGCCTTTCTTGAACATTGTGCTGTTTTAGTTCTATGGCACATTATTTTTAAATAATCTGCCCAACTGGAAGCTAACCTCAATAGCAGGCTTGCCTCCCCGACTGTTTATAATAATTTGACATTTAAATAAGGTAGTGCCCTAAATAAGAGAATTCTTGTCATGCGGTGCATGATTTTGATTGGCAATGTATGAATAAAAAAAATCTATGTAAAACACCAAAACTGTACTTCTGACAGAAATGTTTGAAGAGAGGCCACTCAGAGAAGAGGAATGGAAAGATATTTGCCCATGTAGTGGATGTTATAGAAGTTCTGAGAGTTTGAATAACTCAGCTAGCCAGAGAAAAGCAATTTTTATTCAGTGTGTATCTTGCATGTAAGTTAAATCCCTGAGAAAAGATGAAAAAAAAACTTAGTGCTAACAGCATTAAACAGATATGAGAATGCTCAACTACAGTGACAGAAAGGGACTGTCAAATTGATACTAGGTAGTCCCAATAATCTAAAGAAAGGCAACGCCTTTATCCATACTATACCAACATGCAAAGATGAGGTTGTATTTAAGATCTGGTAATCTCTGCTAAAATTCTGAAATTATCAGTAAAAATTAATAACTGAACATTTAACAAACACCATAGGGTAATGTTTTTAAAAGCTCTTATTAGCTTCACATGGAATCTATTTTTAAAAAAAGACCTTGCAGACTTGGCCCCAGACTGTCATCACAATAAATAGCTGAAAATGTCAAAAACCCAGAGTCAAAAGTTCTGTCCTGACATGTGGACATTTCAGATTTTTGTGTGGGCAGGTTTGTGGATGTCCCAGACTTCACATACGTGCCTATCCTGGAGACAACTGAATATTTAAATGGCCAGTTGTCATTTATTGGATTTTGGTATTCCTGCTGTATGGAATACAGAGAGTGTCAAGCAGAACAGGTCAGAGTAGGTCTGTTTCAGTGAACTTATTTTGGGTAGCCAAGGTACCTCTTTAGAGAGGTGATGCCCCTGTAGATATTGCCCCAGGTCATGTCAGGGTATCAGAAGCCCTTCTGTGAGGCATCAAGTGTATTTGTGTGGATGTCAGGTATCCTTTGGGATTGCAAAATGATGTCAACAGTCAATCTAAAAATGTATAAACCTATTGGAACTGTCAAAGCTCTCAAAGAACATATGAATTAAGAGCTGGAAAAGGAGACGGTTTCCTCAAGCTTACTCTGCCATTCAATAGGATCACGGCTGATCGGATTACTTCAGCCCATCACAGGGCTATGCCTAGGATTAGAAGGTGTATGGGAGTGTGTGGGAGAAGAAATGTGAGCGGTGAGGACTTAGAGGGATTTTTTGGTTTCATTCTTTCCTGTTATTAAATGGCAGTGCAGGTGCACAGGGGCAGGCTTCAGTCAACAGCCTTCACTCTTGTTCTGCGGACTCTCAGTTCACCTCTTAGGGGAACCCTGTCACCCTGGGATAAAAATATGACCTCCCAGGACATTTTCTTCCAGGCTGGGTCCTTTAAAAGTAAAGGTAAAAACAATGGAAATTCTGAAATTAAGATGTGAGTCAATTATGAGAGAGAGTGAGAGAGACAGAGCCATGATATGTAGTCAACAGTAGCCATATTTGACATAAAAGCTGGGGAATGTCCTGTCTCTGGGATCCTGATCAGGAACAAAAATTAGAGCCTCTATGTCAATTCCAGAGGCTGGCCTGATGTTAACTTGTAATAAATGGAACTTACTTGATGTTAAGCCACTCTGATCAGTTTTATTGCCTATAATGAATATTAATTATACCTATTAATCATGTGTTCCCATGTACCTTGAGTACTTTTTTATGATTAAGGTGCTGCTATTTATTGACAAACTTAGGATGGAACAAAGAAATGTTACTTGACTGACTTTCCTGATTGAGTTTTTTGACAAGAAGTGGTTAACTCGTTCACTGACAAGATTTTAGAATTTAAATGGAAAATTGGTAATGTAAATGTTAAGATAATTTGGACTAATTTAGTTCAAGGATTGCTACCCTTAATTGCCGAGAATTCTTGGTTAAGGACTTAAAGTCAAGGGACAAAAGATCCATCTGAAACTTTTAGATTAAAACTCCTTACAAAGTTCATGGATTTTCTGAATGAAGTGACTGCATTGTCAATATGATGATGTCCAATTTCACCAACCTACAAAAAGAGCTTGTACTCTGAAGTCCCAATGGACCAAATATTCAAAATATTTAATATGAAAAAAAGACAAATTTAATTTCTCTCTTTCACAAACCATAGATATTCAAAAGTGCTTTACAAGTAATTTGAAGTGTAGTCACTATCTTGTAATGTCAGAGACGGCGACAGCCCATTTGCACACAACAAGGTTCCACAAACAGCTGTTTTTAGTGATATTGGTTGAAGGCTAGAGATATTGACCAGGATACTAGGGAGAACAACCAGCTCTTCTTCAAAATAGTGCCATGGAACCTCTTACATTCGTCTGAGAAGCAGCATCTCAGTGATACTAGTGGAGTGCCTTAAGGTCATGAACAGCACGACACAAATGCAATTTATTTCTTCATTTACATGAGGTAGGTGTTTAAATGAAGCTATCCCACAGTATACAAGTGTGTTTATAAGCAGTTAACAACCAGGTGTGGGATTTTAAACAAGGCACTGGGTGGGAAATCAACAAGTTCACAAACTGCTGAATTTCCATTTTGCACGTTAATTTCTAATCAGAACTCTTTCTGTTAGATGAAAATTTTTATTTGTTAGTTTTATGATGATTTTAAAAGAAAGGTACAAGACAATTACAAAAAGTTTCCTAATTTGCCACTAAGTGATCAGTGAAGTATAATATGAAAGGATAATAGACTCTATTGTAGAACCTTTGGAAGGAAGATGGTGAAGATGTGGAAGATTTGTCATGCTAATTTTATCTACCTCAAACATTACCTATTCTTATAGGTGAGCCGGACAGTTCTAGTTCCCTCAAATTTGCCAGGATGTTGTTCCTTGGAGGCCTGCTCCCACTTGCATATTATATCACAAATCTGAACGAAGAAACAAAATTATTGAAATTATTTTCCATGAAGTCAGTAACAATGTAAGACTAAATAACATTAGATACATGTTATATAATATTGCATAAGGTCCTGTAATGGCACAAATAAATCTGAACAAACCAAGAATGGAAGTTTCTAAATGTGGCATTTGTAGTTATTTTGTTCACTGAACTTACAGGAATTTCATAGTAAAGATACGGAAAATACCCTGAACATTCTCTTCTGAGTTGAAAGATAATCTATTTCAGAATTGCGATTTAAATTCATAATAATCAACGAGGCTATCTTATTTGTATTATCATTTACATAAATTAATTTGAACAAGTTTTAAATTAAACTTATCAATACAAATAGACTCGTTTGTTACAAAAAATGTACTGGAGAAACTCAAGTCTGGCAGCAGCTACAGAGAGAGAAAGAACTAACATTCTGAATCCAGTATAATACTTTTTCAGGACCTGCTGTATTCTGCTTTAATTAGATTAATTTGTTTATCATTTTATATTCCCCTGTATTATTTACAGTTTTATACAAATGCAGAATTTGTCATGGTAATTTATGAGCTAGAAATATATAGCATTAGTACGTTGGGGCATGGAGAAGGAGGTGTCTTTCCCCAACCCCCTCCCCCACCTCACTTTCTATACACTGACCTCAAAAATAGGACAGAGTAGTGCAACAATTGTATGCATCCAACCTATAATGTATGAATACAGCTAGAATTCCCTAGATCAGAATTGTTTGAATAATGGGATACCCTAAAGGTGTAGAAAATATTTCCCTTAAGAGTCACTTGCTGCTTGCTTGGAAGTCAAATGTTGTTGCTAAATAAAGGTGCAAACATTATAAATTCAAAGTGTTCTGCAAATTACAATAGATTCTCAATATGAAGCACCAGTCAAGTAACTCACATCCTGGAAGATCCTTTAAAAATAAAAGGTTATAACGATGGAAATTCTGAAATTAAGTTGTGAGTCAATTATGTGAAAGAGACAGAGCCATGATATATTGTGAACACTAGCAATATGTGACAGACTTATGTGACGATTTTGGATTATTGCATAAATTCAGTAAATCCCTCCCAATCCATTGCCACTATCTTCTCAAGGGCAACTTGAGGTGGGCAATAAATGCTGGGCCAGGTAGCAATACTCATATCCCATGAATGAATAAAGAAAACACCCCAGCCAGAGATATAAAAAGCTGTTGGTGTTTCCTTCGTGGATTTTCAAACAGCTATCTTAGAAGCCTGGTATTCCATTAGACGGATTATTCTTTCTAGCTTAGACAGACTCAGAAATCAGACAGAACTACAAGTCAGGTCTTCACTGATGTCATTGGTATGACTAGGAACGCTTTTCTGTCAGTAGTGGCCAATATGAGATAGACGTTAGCAGTGAAATGTGGATGGAACAGACATAGCTTTAGAGTGCTACCTCACAGAACAGAATTTATCCACACTCTCCAAGTCAGTAAGTAACCCGTATTCTTGTACACATGATGGAAAATATGCAGAGTCAGGTTGCTAAAGCAGTAGCACAAGTGGGGTAGCCAGCGGCATTTCCATTTCAGGATGCACACGCCGGGAAATTTGGGCCACTTTCAAACTAAGGAATACGTACACATAGGCATGAACATGCATAAGGATTTTAGTACCTAGAGAAAGCACAAGGCTGGGGTCAGCAATGAATGTATCATTTCAATATATTATGTATATGAATATATGCTATTAATAAGTGGAAGTATCTCAGAAGCTTATACTCAGCACTCACTCACTCACTCTACAGTATGTTTGATATTACAATTTTAGTTTCATGAATGTTTTATGCAAAATGTGCTGTGATGGTTTTAGGTACTTTAGGCAAAAGCACAAAAGCACATGTGAACATGCTGAGAGACCTGTTACTGAGGTAATATTTGCAATGATATGCTTACCTTGTGCATCAAAGTTGTGCACTATTCAGCATGCACTAAGAATCCCAGAGCATTTTACAGCGAATAGAGTGTAATGATAATGTTGAAATGAGTTACCAGTTAAGGCAGTAGAATCGATGATGTTTGACTGGATGCCTGGTTGCAGTCAGGGATAACAAGGTGTAGAGCTGGATGAACACAGCAGGCCAAGCAGCATCAGAGGAGCAGGAAAGCTGACGTTTCGGGTCTGGACCCTTCTTCAGAAAAAAGGATCCAGACCTGAAACATCAGCTTTCCTGCTCCTCTGATGCTGC